ATGATAGGTTTCCCATCATCAGAATCATGTTCAATTTCTGATGAATTGATGTATATTTAATCCATATGGAAATCGCCGCCATCGTCTACTTTGTCAACTTTTTCGTTTATTACATTAACTTTTTTGCGCACATCTTGAATACAATTAACTGTATCTCTTTTTTAGTGTCTTATTATCAACTTGTCACCTTTCTTGCAAGCTCTCATTATCTTTGATTTCATGTAGTATATCAATTTCGAATCTGTTTTTACCACCAAAGAAAAACAATAAACTTAATGAATTAAAGAAATTGATGAAAGTAATAATATCAAATGGAAATTTGCCTTCATTTGGAATATACAAATTAATATTGGTAGAAGCTAGATAAATATTTGAAATATCTTAAATGTCATTTTTGATTGCACATAAAAATAAGTGCGCGGGCTGTATCAGTTGAGATTGATATTAATTTCGAAGTAAATATTCATCTTGTGCAAATTGCATTTGAGTGGATTTGTTTTTTTATATTTCTATTTGTAAGAATACTTTTTTGTAATTTTCTAATTTATGAGAATTTTTAATTATTTCATTAGGATATTCTAAAGAGCTGAAAATGCAAAGTATTTGGTTCATCAATGTATTTGTTGTTGATAGAGTCAATAAAGTATGAAATATTCTCAACAGTTAGTCTGTTATCTGGAATAGATTCCCAATATTTATTTACAATAAATTTGCATCATCTCAATCTGAGATCATTATTTGATATCATAGATTGTACTCCTTTATAGAGGTCTAATACTGTTACAGCTAGGTTGGAATTAAGTTTTAGACTGAGTAATTTATTAAGGGTCTTTTTAATATTCTAAATTTTCTCTGTGACGACTTGTATACAAATCGACCTTTAATAATAAAGCATATTTTGAGGAGATTTCTGATAATCAACAACAAAAAAATTAATTGACAAGACTTATTGACGCGTCCTGGAAGTAATAATACAAATGATTTCAGTTAATCAAAAACTAACGTGTTCAAAAATCCAACAAAATAATAATCAACAGTTGGACTTAATTTCTGCCAACAAATCAGTAAAAAAATTCAGAGTATGGCTTGTTTATAATGAAGTTCCTCTACTACTTTTACAGAAGATAATACTTGAAGATAATAAAGGAAAAATAATAATTGTGAGTTTGCAAAGTTTTTCTCGATTGGAGTATGTTTATTAACAGTACTGAACTCTTCTATTTATACAAATTTTAGGATTACTCTAAATATTGTGAACTTGGTTGGACGCAAACTATGGCAGATGTTAAGTTTGATGTTTAATAAATGCTAAAACATGCGCAAAATAGAAATAAATGTTAAATAAATATCAAATGACGTGAAGTCAAAAAAAATTTTAAATAAATATTAAATTATGCCAAGTTAAAAATAAGTGCTATATAAATCTAGGAGATGCTAGACTAACATTATAGTCATTTATCATTTTAGAAATTATGATAGACGAATGTAAAGGAGTACAATGCTATGGATAGTTAGCATTGAAAAGTTTGTTCCCGAAAATAGAACAATTGTAGAGGTATTATAAATCCTATTTTATCAATAGTTGCTAGAACTGAATGTATTACAGTTCTTTTAGAAGCTCTTTAGAATATCCTAAACACATGAAGAAATTAAAGAATATCTAACTAGATAACAGATATGATATGACGAGTATTTGATGAAAATGAAACTGAAAAAAGGTCCTGCAAATGTAACATGACTATTCATAGACAGTTGAATCTTTACTGCAAAATTAACTTTCAATTCCAACTAATGACATCTCATATCAATTACAAGAGATAGTTTGATCAGTATATTCCAACTGAAAATAAAGTCTTCTGAAATAACCCATGATTTTCAAGAGATACAAGGCAAACTCGATAAGACGAAGGTCGGGGGCAAAGACAATTTATTCGGCTTATTAAGATTTTCGTTTTACTAAATTTCGCACAAAGCCGAATTTATATATAATAAAAAATTTGGTAAACCAGAAAAACTTCGGCTTAATGCAATTTCGGCTTAGCGTGACTTCGTCTTAACGAGTTTGCCTTGTACTTGCATTTGTTTATTTTACGTTACACGTTGATCCTGCGATTTGGTTGGTTTACTCCTTAAAAGAATCATGTGATCAATTTTATTAAGACGCGGTGCATAATAATAAACAATATCGGAATTTGTACATGTATAAACAAAAAAAACATTACCACGCTATTTTCTTTTCTTTATAAATATCATATCCTTCCTTTATCTTATTTTCTTTATTCTATTAATACTAATTTCGTATGCCAGATTGATAAATACATATACTAGGACGACAACAAAAAATGCTGGAATGAATTGGGAATACAGATACATTACCTCAGTTAGATAGGTATGAAACATTTAATATAGAAATAGAATATTCAAATATTTAATATTGAATATCTAATATTAAAATATTTAATATTGATGAATTGTCAAAGGATAATTTCTGCGAATAACCGGGAGATTATCAGCGTGTTTGAGAATTCGAGGCTATTTGTATTCCTTCTCAAACGTAAAAATAATCAGACAATTCATCTTATAAACAAAGCAATAAATGGAAAAACAAAAAGAATTCCAGAACAAAAGAAATGTAAAAGGTATACAGGTTTCTAGGCATACAGTTGGAAGGCATCTTCGTAATCGAGATTATAATTCCCTCACAATTCCTCTCACTTGCAATATCTATGCTCACAGTTGAGCAAAAGCGAAAGAATTGAATGGGCCAAAAAAATCTCCACGACAATTGGTCACGGACCTTATTTTCAGATGAAACATCATTTCAATTATTCAGAAACATAATTTCCTGAGGTCGAAACAATGATGGATGATAATTTGACAACTTCAACAAAACAACGACCCAAAACCTACAAGTCATATGACTAAGAATTTCCTCCGAGAATATCCCAGCTTTAATAGATTGACTATCCAGTAGTCCCGATCTTAACCTTTATCGAGTCTTGTCAAATGAAACGTGGAAAAAGGAAACCACGAAATTTAGAAAAGTTGGAGAAGTTTATGGTCGTAGAATCGAAGTTATAAAGAATTTGGTTCGGTCAATGAAAACGAGATGTAAAGAAATTATCAGACTAAACGGGAAAGAATAAATTATTGATCATATAATGTATATTCTAAACTCGTGTATATTCTTAATAAATCAAACCGTTGTGAATATCGTTGATTAAGTTAAAATCACTTGAAATTTTTCGTTTACCCCTGTACATACATGCCACATCGGTCTTTGTTAAAAGGAAGCCAATTATATGGTAAAAACTTTTCCGTCATTGTATTTTCTGTGCGAACTGTATTTAAATGACATTTATGTGCCATTGGTTCATCGATAATCAAAACTCTATAATTATTATTATTTTTCTAAATTTAATTCAATAAAAGGGCTAAATAGCATTAAACATATAAATACAAGTTCTAAAGAATATATGAATAATGTTACCGAAATATGGGAATCGGCATACGTTAGCATATCATTGCGATAATCAACGTACCACGATCGTCACTTTGTAACAATCAATCTTTAACAATAACAACTTTCACGACAAATTATGTCTCACGCCTCGTAGTTTCTGACACAATAACTACACTTATCACAACCATCTGCTTTATGACCATCGTTATCAGAAACATTACGCGACTTGCTTATAAATTTACGATCAACAAAGTAACATATCAATTTGTGAGCCTAAAATCACCTCTGTGATTGCCGAGCACTTATCTTATGTCCAACACTGTTTGAAACATGCATCTTTAGTAATACTCCGTTAAATCAAAGTTCATCACCCCCATTTCTTTTTACTAATACTCCTTTATTATTCTCGATCATATTGTCTATTAGATTAATGTTGTGAGAAAGTTCCGACACAAATAATATAGATATTGCATTGATATATTTGTATAAAAAGGTCAGGTATTGATCTCTAGGGGAAGACATGCTCTGATCAAAAATAATAAAAACTTCATATTCGTAATTATTCTGTTATTAGTGAATACACTGTTATTATTGATTACCTTCGAACCTTGCGTACAAGTGACCTTTATTTCTTTTGCGCCTAACATAAATTGATAGTGGAAAAACTCCATTCTAATAGACCATAATTTTAGTGTTCTTGTTGGTTGGCACTGGATAAGACCAACCGTTGAATTTACTTTGTGTGCAATATCGTGAAGATAGCTTTGTGCTATATTGTAGTAACTACTTTGTGCATCAATCCGAGTCACTGTAGTTTTCGTAAAAACTAACACAGGAAATCCTTAGAACAGTAGAGAAACTCTCAACTCGTAAAATATTTAGTCTAAGCTCCCCCACTCCTGAGTTACGTCCTAATTTCCCCAAACCAACATCTTCTAAAAGTAGCGTAACAATAACCATCTTTATTTAGAAATTTGATATGAGGACACATTGACAAAGTTAATACCGTATAAATGCGGCATACATTTACTAACCTTTTAACTCATATTTATAAAGTAAACTCGACGATGTAATTTAAGTTTTCGAATAATCACAATTACAGTCAATGCATTATTTATTGTCATGTTGACAAAAAACGTTTATATCACGTTATTCATGATTGTAGTATATGCAGTATATGTATCGCTTGACAGAAAACGTTCGCTACGACAAATGTTTCGATTATCACTATTAACGTTATAAAACGGAATGGCTAGCGAAAATAAAGTCATCAATAACTTCATAAAAGAATGGGAAAAAATTAGATCTTTTGAAATATTTACTAATGTTGAATATCTTGCGAAAGGAGGTTTTAGCACAATTTATAAAGCAGTTCTACACGAATATAACATGTGAGACTACAGAGATAATAATTTCCTATACCAAAATTATCCTCCACTCATGCTCGAAGATTCTGAATCTGAATATGGGTGTTTTATTAGTGAATACTAAGACACCGTAATACAACGTATCAACCCGAACATGTTAATGAGCAGTATCAGAGTGTTTGGTCTTTATTAGGATGATCGCGCAGAAAAAAAGCTTCCGAGATGAAACCCTGTTCTATTTCGTGAATACCAATATCAATTCGAACATGCAAATGAACAGTATCAGGCTATTGCTCTTTATTAGGGGAATCATGTAGAAAAAAAGCTTCCTTGATGTAACCTTATACCAGAGTTGGCATTTGGCTGCAGCCAAGAATTTTTTGGCCGATTGGCCATAGTTTAGCCATCGGCCAAGCTCAACAGCCAAAATTAGCGTCCAAAATTCTGTTGGCATTTAGCTGAGGCCATTGGCCGTTTTGGCCATTTTGGCTGTGACCAAACCGGCCAAAATCTATTTAAAAAAATAGACGTGTGTTAAAAAATCCATTTTGTGTGCATAGAGCATCATTTTTTGCGTAATCCGTCATCACTATCAGCTGGATATTGCAACATCTGAATCTAATTTTGATTTAATAAATTATAAAATAAATTCTGAACGAAAATGATAAAATAATATATAACTAGAAATAAAAATCATAATAAAAACAAATAATATTTAATAAAATTAGAAGTAATTAATAAAATAGGATAATATAAAGAAAAATAAGAAAATAAATAAGTATTATTAACTAAAGTTCGATATAAAGATGAATAATATTACTAACTTTAGAAATTGACCTTAAAACCTTAAAATTTTTAGTTTTTAATTGCTTTATAGGAATAAATATAAAGTAACTCAATATAATAGTAACAAATATAATAAATTTTTATTTTATCTTTATAGTTTGTATTATATAATCTTCTTTTATATAATCATATTCTCTCTATCATTACATTTTTGTTCAGTCCTTGAGCATAGAAAATTTGACTTTTATATAGTTATAATCTCTTTAAAATTATATTTTTTGCTATTCTCAAGAGTATGATTATATTTATCTTAAATATTATTGCAATATATATTTAAAGTTATCAAGCAATTATATATTATAAATTAAATAAACTTCTGATTAAGAAGTAAATTCAAAATTCAACTTATTAGAATTATAGAATGAATCTTTTCTTAATAATTTTAATAAATTAAAATTTTGAATTTATTTCTTACTAATTTACATAAAGCTTATATAATTAAAAAATAAATTTAAAAAGATAAAGATAAAGCAAGTAATATTATTTAAAGCTATTAATCATTTATATTTTATAAATTAAATAAACTTCTTAACTACAAAAGATCTTAGAATCTTAATAATATTTTCAATCTATATAAATTATTTAATTTAATTTTTATTTGTAATTTTTAAATTAACTATTGAATTATATATAATAATTCTTTTATAATAATTTTTTCTATTCAAATAAACTATTTCTTAAAAAATCATTTTTATATTAATATTTATTTAATATAATATATAAAGTTCTAATTTAAAATTTTGAATAATTAATTAATTATTTAATATTTTAATAATAATAATTATTTTTTAATTTTGACAATTAATTAGAAATTCTATGAATTATTTATTATAACATTTTCAAAGTAAAATATTTTGTATTTTTATTAAATTAATATATAAATATATTTTATTTTATATTTATTTTTAGTAATTTTAAGTAATAATATATATAAGATTTGAATATTTTAAGAATATTCTATCAATATTATATTATTTTTTAGAAATTTATAATGAAATAGTAAATAATATATATATATTTATATAATCTCTTTAATATATTAAGATTCAACTATATAATTTATAATAAATAAAAAAATTATATTAATTTTTTTTATATATTAAAATTTGAAATATTGAATTAATTATATTATTAAATTTTCTTATTTATATATTTAATTTATTAAAAATATTATTTAGATTTAAATTTTATAAAAAATATTTTTGCAATATTAATTTCTAAACTTGAATAAAATATTATTACTGTAGTGACATAAAATTCCTTAATTCCTTAATCTTTCTCTAGTTATGATAAATCACATATTTCTATATTTTATTTTATATCCCTATTTCTATATTATATATTA